GTGATTTCGATTCACATAATCCTTACTCTTATCCTTGGACTTCTTCAGAATCGAGTTGGTCCCTGAATTGCTAGAAAGGCGAGAGTGCTGCTGCAGGTGCAGATGGGTCACTATACGCATGATGTATATAGGGGACCTACCCACCAAATACTTCTACAAAGCTCAAAGCTTGCTGAATGCATGATGCTTCTTAAGCTAACCAATAATACTGATCCATTTCTATTCATCTGGTCGAGGAACAAAAAATGCTGGCTCTCAAATATTTCATCTCACCCTATTCTTCTCTGACCAGAACAAGAGCTAATTAGTGAGCGCATCAGAATTTCTCATTTCATATTCCATAATTCATATGTTATGTTGACAGATGGACTATTTATGTGCATTATTTCCTTGATACAAATATAGGCAATTTTTAAAATTGGCGAAATGGAGGATAAAGTTTTTGGGAGTTGAACAACCATTCAGAATCGTAGTGGCTGTTTGAATATGTATGTGGCCTATACAATGACCTGCGGTGGCCAACCGATCCACAGTTGAAGCTTATATACTCCCAGACGACTCTACTAACGACTACCTAACTCAGAAAGGATGGAGGGCTTGGTTGATTCCGAGGAAAATCCATTTGGGATTCAATCTATGGACCGTGCGCATGTGAATGCCACCTTCACGCCTCCTCCGACCGTAATTTTGACTCAGGAGGTTTGAAATAGCGTAAGGTGCTCTGTATGGTTTTTATCGTGGTTTATTTATTTTTTATTTGTTTTATGTATGATCTAAAATAATAGCCAATTAGAAAAGGAGGCTCAGAAATTAGAAAGAAAGCACTGTCGAGTTATATGGTGCAGATCATTCGTGGATCTGAGCATGTTTTTCCTGAAAATCGCTCCGACCGATCTAGTTGGGATGCGCCATGTGCTCGACTTACGTTTATTGTCTTAAAGCTGTTCTCATGCATTCATGTACGGCAGTATCTTATAAAAGTGTGGTGTTCGAGCCAACTTAAAGGCTTGGATTTTCTCTCAGCGCCAAACAAATTTTGAACTTATTTTGAAGGACTCATCCGAAATATAGGTTGCTCGGCTTTATCCTTTGAATTAGTCAAAATCTTGCTCACGAAATGTTATTTTGTCAGATGTCTATTCAAACAAATCTTATGGGATGCTCCATGCTCTGAATCCACATCTCATTTCCGATAGAACGATATAGTCTGGCAGATGGATGCTGTTATACGTTGTGTTGTTTCCCTTCCCCTCCCTCCAGGCAAATATGGAAATGATTATTTGTCTCAAAAAAGGTGAAGGCTCTCTAACATTAAGCCTGAGCGAGATTTCGGAATAGTAGAGCGTGTAAGCCGCTTTCCCTATTAGTCTAATCGCTGACCATGATGTTTACTTTCCTTCAAAACTTATTTCTTGTCTCGCATTTTGTTTTCATTCCCGTTCCGGCTCGAATTTTGCGGTTTTTCTCGAGAAGCGTATTCAATCGTCACTTCATCATTTCCAATTTCTCATTTCTTTCTTCCTTGGCATCGCTTTAAACAAAGGGCACAATTTTTCCGGCTTAGAAGTATGCATACTTATTTATTTATTTATTTATTAATAGCGTAGACAAGTCTATGCGAAGTAAGCAGCCAAAATGTACTTCTGATAATATTTGAGAATCTCCAACTAGATAGCATTTTTTACCCAAATAGAACCGTTCTTGAACATTTGGTTTTGTAGTATTGGACAGTATCATTTTATGTCGCACGCTATCGCATGCAGGGTCCGGAGATCGAATCTCAGATTAACTTGATGTTTTGAGTCTCACCAAACATTTGCCCACAACTAGCCATCCTTGTGAGAGACCCAGATTGACACCCGTTGCGGCCTAGTGACCTTTCCATCTCTTCGGGGTCGGTTATTTGGTACCAAACTCGGCTGGGAGTGATAAAACACTGGCTCGTTTATTGGCTAGCAACAACAACTTAAAAGGACCCATACGCATTCCAAACAAAACTACAATTCTGAATGATGATGGAATGCGAGGCGTATCCCAGAGAGGGCTTATTAGTTCCAAGAATACCTTACCCTTTGAGAAACCTTCTTGGAGGTCCTTTATTTGAGTAACCTCTTACGGACTGTTACATTCGTTGAATGAAGTAGAAATTGAAACCTTTCAAACGACTTCCACCCCGTCGCTTTCATTTTCGTCGTCGCCATAAATATTACTGTATTAATATGTCCAAATACTCGTAATTATATTGGTATTAACTTTTAACTTCAGTCTCCAACGGTTAACGGTGGCTTCGGCTTCTGTGTTCGAGCTCCATCAATCAGCAGCATGCTCTAATGAAGAATCTTCCAGTAGAGGTAAAGTTTCATGAAGTATTAGCTTTTACCAAGCAGTATCTCCTTGTTTATGCATTCGCTTCGTTCATCTTCAAGGAAAAGAAAATGCCATTCTTGTTTTTCAAATAAATGCATGCATCTATAAATCGGTGAAGG